AAAAATGTGTATTGGAATGGCCTTTTTTCGGCGCCGCCTCGGAACTCGATTTCCGGCGCCGGCCGGAACCGGATGGCCTTTTTTCGGCGCCGCCTCGGAACTCCATTTTCCGGGGGCGGCCGGAACCAGCTCCAGACCCAGCGGCCCGAGCGCCGGCCCAGGCGCCGGCTCGGGCGTGCAGCCCAGGCGCCGGCGGAAATGATGCCAGCGCTGCAGCGGGAGCACGATTCGGAACGAGCGGGGCCCGAAAATAAGGCCGGCGCCTCAGCGAGAGCAGCATTTTGGAAAAAATGCAAGCGAAAACCTAACTCCGGGGAAACCTGCGTGTAAAAAAACAGTACGCGGGGGGGGGGAGGGCGAACACCCCAAGACGTCATCAGGGGAAGAGGGAGAGTAGTATTCATATTGAGTAATTGTGGAGGATCAGGCCCTGAGGGGGGCAGGACGCGCTGGACGAGGGGAGCATCAGGCTACGAAAGTGAGTCACCATATCGGTGGCCACGTCCCTCGCTGATCTCGTCGCTTCGCGCGCCCCCACCAGCCCGTCCAGAAACCGTCGGAGACTGTCCTGAGGCCTTCGGGATGCTATCTGGAGGCGTGCTCGACTAGAGGTTGCCCGGAGGCCTCCTGGAGGTCTGTCGGAGACTATCTTGAGCCATGCTCGGCTATCTTGAGCAATTTTGAAGGCCATCTCGGGTGATCTAGGGCTCTGGGGCCCTCTTGGAAGACACCTTGGGCCGAAGAGGGCGGGGTGGAGGGGTGGATGCGGGAGTGGAGGGGTGGTGGAGGATGGGGCGGAAGGGGGGTGGACGGGGGGTGGAGGGTGGGGCGGGGTGGAGGGGGGGTTCGGGGGGGAGTCTGGTCGGCCTCTTGGGGCCATTGCGGGCGCCGTGGTTCAAAAAGACAAGGGTCCCGAATGGAGGACACCCCGCCCGAAGGGCACTTTGAACCGTCTCGGGGCTGTCTTGGGGCCTCTCGGAGGCATATCGGAGGCTATCTTGAACCATCCTGGAATGTCTTGGGCCTTCTTGGAGGCCATTTTGGGCTCTCTGAGGCCCCCTTGGAGCCACCGCTCGCCAACTTGGGCGCCCGAATGGGTCGCCCCCCCTCGCAGGCACAGGGGAGGGGGCAGGGCGGGGGAAGGGAGGGGCGAAAGAGAAAAGAAACCAACTCGTTAAACCAACGACGCCCAGACGCCCACGCCATCATGCCCCCCCCCCGCCACTTTGGCACGACCCTCGAACGTTTCGTGGCCCCGTCGGGAGTTCCACCAAAGGCCCCGCGCGCCGCCCCCCCCGCCCACCCACCCACGCGCCTCGCCGGCTTCGTGGCCCCATCGGGAGCTCCACCGAATGCCCTAGTGGCAATGCCCGCATGCCGCCACCCCTCCCCCACTTACTCCGGCACTCCCTTGGCGCATTTCGCAGCACCATGGGGCGGCGTGGAGTCCCGCCGAGAGCCCCAGCAGCCGCGCCCGCATGCCGCCCCCCCTACACTCTGGCACACAGCGATTTCCTGGTTTCGTGGCTCCATAGGGAGCTCCACCGAAGGCCCCAGTGGCAGCGCCCGCGTAGCGCCACCCCACCGCCTTGGCACACCGCTCAAGCGCTTCGTGGCCACATAGGGAGCCCCACCGAAGGCCCCAGTGTCAGCGCTCGCGCAACCCGCCACTTGCCTGCACGCCTCATCCGTTTGGCGGCCCCGTCGGAAGCTCCACCGACGGCCCCTGTGTCAGCGCCGGAATGTCCACTGAAGGCCCCAGCGACAGCGCCCGGACGCCGCCACCCTACCATGTTGGCAGACCCCTACACGTTTCGTGGCCCCATCGGGAGCTCCACCGAATGCCCGCACGGCAATGCCCGCATGCCGCCAGGCCCTCCCCCCACTTTGGCACGCCCTTCGCGCGCGTCATACCCCCAGTGGGAGGTGTATCGAAAGCACCGCTGTCAGCGCCCGCGCGCCGCCACCCTGCCAATGTGGGGAACCCATTCACGCTTCGGTTCGTGGTCCCACATGCAGCATCGAGCACTGGGGTGCTCCCCCCTCCCCCATGCTATGTTGGTGGACCTGTCATGTGTCTGGCGGCCCTTTCACGGAACTCCAGCAGCGCCCGCGCGCCGCCGCACCCACGCTTTGGCACGCTCCTCGCGCATTTTGTGGACGCGCGGACGCGCGGGTTTTCCACCGAAGGCGATATTCACAATTGCGGCACTCACAACTGCATATGGGCAGGTCCTTCGCCAGGGTTTTTCAACGAGGGGTCGTTGCGTCGCCGTCGATAGATTATTGGAGATCCGGCCCGATAATCTCACGATCCAGGCGGAAGGCCCAAACACCGAAATGTCCTCAGCGGCCCCGGGGGGCAGGCAAAAACCTGGACCGTTGGGCTGGCGAGTTTCTCTCCTCCTGATGATCATCTTTCTCCTCTACCTCGTCTTCCTCCACGCCCTCCACCACTTCGTCCTCCGTCTTCGCCTCCCCATCGCGCCCGCCCTCCCTTCCCTTTTCTTCGTCCGCCTCCTAGGCCCTGGCGCCGTCCTGCGTGGGGTGGCGGTCATTGCCCCTGGGCGGCCGCCTTGGGCCTTGCGGCTCCAGCTTTCGGCTCGTTCATCCTCCCCCCTCTTCTTCGTCCGCCTCCTAGGCCCTGGCGACGCTCTGCGCGGGGAGATCGGCACATCGGCATCTCGTGCCCCCGGAAACTGGCCCGGCGAACCGATCGAGTCGCGCCGGTGCGTGGCCGCTTTTCCTGCGCATTTGGGCCATCTTCTGTTCCATCCTCATCGTCCTCCCTACTCCCCCTCCTCCTCCACCTCCGCCACAGCTATTACGGTTTGGGCCGTGGCCGTTCGCCCCCGCCCCGAGACGCCTCTGCCCCAAATTCGCCGCGAACCCAGCGCCGCATAACTGACGCGGGCGCGCGCGCGCGAATCTGGGGCGCGCGCGCCAGCAGCGGCGCCTTAATTCGGCTCGCCCGGGGAATGGTGGTCGCGAGCCCCGCGACGCAGTCGCTTGCAGGCCTGTGTTCGCGGGGGCCGCCAAGCGCACTAGCGCGCCTTTCCAATTCAGGCCGTCGGCGGGCGGCGCGGCGACGTTCTCCTGGCTGCTGCGCGTGAACTCCGCATGGATCCTCTTCCAATCTTACCTTTTGACACCTGCTGCCCCGTTCGGTCCGAGTGAATGTGACATTCGTGGGATGCCTTTGGCGGCGAGTTCGAGATCATCGCGCGCTCGTCTCGTCGCCGACGTCTTGTTTCTATCGGCGGATAGCAAGAGAGGGATCGGTTCATCGACCCTCTTCTCCCGCGCGCGTGCTGCCCAGCGTCGCGGCCGAGGCGGTCGCTCAATCGAGGGCATGGGAATGCCCGCCCGCGCCGCACGTGGCACTTATTCCTAAGTCGCGCGAAGCTCCAATGAGCGTGGCCCCGATGTCACGGGATTCGGCCACCGTGAAATTGCGCCGCACCACCGCGCCGCGCGCGGCGCGAACCTTGGCCGGCAGGTTCCGGGGGAGATTGCGCTCGAGATGTCGGTCGCCTTTCGCTTGAGATTTTGGACCTGGGGCGAGATGTCATATGAGATGTCGTCGGGTATGCGACGGCGGCGCGATGTCGCTCGGGATTTAGCGGGGGCAAGATTATCTGGCATGTGTGCGGAATATGTTCGGGATATTATTGGGGGCATTTTGCGCGGGCGACATTTCTCGGAATATGCGTTGGAGATCCGCCCGGAGATTCGCCTGCGGCAAGATTTGGTTTGAGTTGTTTTTCTTCTGCGCCCAAAAAGCGTCCGAGAGTTTTCGCAGGAGGTTTTCGCGCCCAGGTCTGCGACCTGGCGCGATCCAATCCTTGGGGCACGCGCGCCAAGCGAGGGGGCTCGCAGGACCAGAAAGTTACGTCGTTCCCCTGGGATCACTCGAAGGTCTACGCATGGTGACTGGGCGCAGGCCGGACGGCGTTCGACTTGTCGTTGGGAACTTAGAACAAGTCTATAGTGCAACTCTTGACCCTGTGGCGGCGAGTCCAAAACTGGAACTCCCGATGAAAAGCGCTTGCGAGAGGGATCTCACCGGCGTTGCTTTGGCGACGGCGCCGCCCAAGGAAACAGCTAGCAGCTATTCCGCCGAAGCGCGACCAGTCGCAAACAGCGCAGCCCCGCTGTCCGCGAAGAATGCGACGACGATCAAGTGTCTGAACACCCCACCCCGCCGCCGCCCCCCCATTGGGCGTCAGATGAGAGAGGCGAGGCTGCAGACGATCTTGTTCCAGAATACCCTGCTGATAACGAGGGTCCCGGGGGGGGGGGGGCGCCTGCGGTGGTAGATGGGTTTGGCCGTCAGCGAGCTATTCTAGCTGATAGAGGGAATCTCAGCCTATGTTCTGTCGAGTACAAGCTGGAAACACAGGCGCATTTGTCGTGCAAGCGTCGGGGTTTGGGGGGTTCAAGACCTGAACAACTCTTGGCCCGAACCACCCAACATGACAGACAATTTGTTCATGGATGGTCGCCCGACAAGCTATCCCAAACGTCACCGTCGACAGGTAAGCGGAATACATGCACCGTGCGTGTAGTTGTGGACTACGATATTGAATGCGCGCGTTCATTATCCAACTCTTGAAACATATCCCCGGAACAACAAACGCTGGTATAAATCCATGCAGATGGTTCCACATGACCAATTGGCCCTGTGGAAAGGGAACAAAACCATTGAGCTACACAACTTTGCGGTTGAAGCCAACGGGCCACGTCTCGAGCTACTGAGAGATACCGGCGTTCGGCCAGTGAGGGTTCCCCGCGACGCGGACAAGGTTGCTCTTGTGGGAACATTCTCGCCAGGAAGCGGAGGAGGAATATGGGGAGGAGGAAAGGGAGGTGGAGGAAGGACGGGGACGAGGAGGATGAGGAGGAGGCGGATACCGTTTTCCGACACGAGTGTTTCACCGTTCACCCCTCCCTCCCCTCCTGTTGTTGCTCTCTGGCGTACACACCTTCGCGGATTTCAGGAGTCCTTGAAAGCCCCGTGAACGACCTGCTGAAGAGGTTGGACTTGGTGTGCTCCAGCGTAGAGGCTTGCGACAGGATGTGGCGATGGGGGAAGAGCGGGGAAGGGCTGGGTAGGGGGAGCGATGGGTTAAATTGTAGGAGGAGGACGAGGAAGGGGGAGGGGGAGGGGGAGGGAAGGGATGGAGGTGCGCATGGAAAGATTAACGGAGGACCGCGAGGAAAATTGCAGGGGCAGGCAAGGAGGGGGGACAAGGCGAATTGTGATGTGGTAGCATGGCGGAGGAGGAAAAAGTGAACATTCCAATTACAATGATATGATGGGTGACGAGGAGGAGGAGGAGGCAGAGGAGGATGACGAGGAGGATAATCAAGGACATGGAGGAAGAAAACAACAGATATCGAGGAGGACCGGGAGCGGGAGGATGAGTGGGAGGAGGGAGAAACAGTAGGTGAGCATGTACATACCAACCCTGGCCCACTTGATTACAAAACGTGTTCGTGTTTTTTCGCCCGGTTGGAAGATTCAACTCAACAGACTACCAGCGAGGACTGCGATGTCACGTAGCGCGGCATTGCAGTTCCGAGGGGCCGGGACGCAAATTGGGAACCCACCTTCCGCGGTGCCCGCCTTTCGCCTGGCGCCGCTGCCACTCAGCGATAGTCGGCCTTGCAGTTGCAGAAGCCTGCCTCTGATGTTCCCGAATGGCAGAGGGAACCACGCGAGTAGCACAGCGAGCCTGGGCACTGGCAGCAGACCGTGGGAGACCGCGTCACCACCCACGGCACCCCTAGGAATGGCCACGGCGGCGGCGCCAGGCGTCAAGATCAGGGGAAGGGGGAGGCGGAACGCAGAAAGAGAAAGATGAATAGCAAAACGTAAGCCTAGTAGTCATCATTGCCATGGAGGACATCACGCGGCGACCTGCGTGGAGGAGTGAAAAGGTGAGGGTGCCTGGACTTCATTTTCCTGTTGCTCCTCCGCCTGCTCCTCTTCCCGCTTTCCCTCCTCCGCCCTGTTGCAACTGATCCTGCTCGTCCCTCTTCGTTTTCTCGTTACCACCGGCGGCGAAGCGCAGTCACTGCGCACTGTACATGGGTGCCGGCGCGTTCCACCAGCGCTCTGCGCCGGCCCTCCAGGGATGGCCGTTGCACGCAGCTAGCGACAGCCATCCCTACGGGGGACCATGTCCTTGGGAGCTCGGCTGGGCACGCGAGAACGACGTAGCTGGCCTCCTTCCCCCTCCTCCTCCTCCTCCTCCTCCTCCTCCTCCTCCTCCTCCTCCTCCTCCTCCTCCTCCTCCTCCTCCTCCTCCCCCTCCTCCTCCTCACCACCCTCCTGTGCAGAACCGGGTAGCCTCCAGTGGCGTACTTCCCGGCCCCGCAGCGGGGGTTGGCGGCGGAGCCCGGGAGGGCTCGAGGTACGCACACTTTTCAGCACCGGTCTTGCTACTGGAAACCAATTGTCCCAAGCTGGCTTGGGCCAAGCAAAGAGGGACAAAAATTAACGAGCAGGGGGTTAGTCTGAGATCTGACGCGTCTTTTTGGACACGGGTCTTTCTGCTCTTTGCAGAATTCGCCCCGCTCCTGCTAGCAAATCTCTCGTGAAGCCAGTTACCCAGAACACAAGTATATGAACGACAGGGTGACCCGCACATATGAAATATGTAGATTTCAAAGCACCTATCACGTGCAGGTAACACCGTCAATACTATTCAGCAACGCTATCCAATGAAGTGGCCTTTGCGGCCTGATCGGACGTTCGCATTCCGAGGGGAGGAAAACATACAATCACTGAAACGCGAGCGTACAGACGTGCACCAGCCTCGGCACAGCACAAGGAGGGAAGATGAGGATGAGCTCCTTCATCTTCGCTTCCCATCGCTCGTGGGTCACACGCCTGGCCGTCTTCACCATCTCCTTACTGAATTCGATGCTCCACGTACCTCGCTCTAGCGTCTCTCGTAGGTGATCCGCTGGCATATCCTTCGTCAGCACATTACTCAACATGTTGATCCCGCTTGTCCAGCGCATCATTGTCTGTGGCCCGTCCAAGATCTCCCTGATACTGGCCAGCTCCAGTTTCACAGACTTCTGCGACGAGTTTTAACGACAGAATTCGAGCTGAGTGTGTCGTGGCCGTCCTTGCTGTCCGTCGCGACCGTCACTGGGACCTGCAATCCGAACAGCTTCATGCCCGCGCCTCTTGCCACGGGGCTGTACAACATCTCAGCGATCTGGTCGCGCGCTCCTTGAGCTACGTCCACGGCGTCGCCCACAGAGATCACCTCCGCCGCGTAATTTGGAACTCTTTCGCCGCTTTCTTCAGCTCGTGACTCTTACCTTCCAGCAGCGAAAACCGGCCAACGCCGCCGTCCAAAAGCTCCTTGTCCGCGAACATCGTGAGGTATCCGCCTTGCTTGCCGATGTTCCCCGTCGCTGGGTCCGACTGCAGCGCCGTCCCGTCCCGTCATTAATCACGTTGCCCATCGAGCTGTCGAACACCAATACCAGGCCGAAACGCCTGAGGTCGATCGGCCGCATCACGAGCTTGAACGTCGAGTCGCGCTTCAGCTCCCTCGGCGCCTGGCTCGCCCGAGTCAGCGCTGACACTCGCGGGCCCTTCTTGCGACCCTTGCGACCCTTCTCTCGCCGCAGCACCGCCAGGTCATACGAGTGGTCCGGGTGCAGTTTGGTCACGAGCTAGTTGACCTCCCCGACCACATGCTGATACTGCTTCCATTCCATCGCGTTCGTCGGCAAATACGCCGCCGCGCGCCGACTCCTGGGCACAGTCACGGGCTCTAGGCCGACCGCATACTCTATCGTGTCGATATGGATGGCTCCTCCAGGCTGTCGTTGGAAACGGCGGCCGCAAAACACGAAGTCATCGTACTCCTCGGTGCCGAAGCCAAGCTCTTTGGCCTGGGCGTCCATCACCTTCGCCATCTTGCCGTTCCCCGCCCAGGGAAAAAATCGCCCGCGCGAGTGCACGCGCAACCTCACAGGCTGTCGGGCCCTCGCTTCTTCGCCTTCGGGTCGCACAGCACCGGGAAGGCGGGGTCCGAGCGAGAGGCCTCCAGCCGCAGCCTGCGAGCCGCCGAGAGCACCTTGGAGCGCCATTGCCTCGGCGCCGTCGGTAGTCCAGACACGCCTTTCCAGACACTCGCAAACCGACCTCGTGGGAAATCAGCGAGTGCAGGTCCAGAAGAGCACGGATCACCAGGCCGCGCTCGTCCACCTCGCCCATTGGGCAGGCGTCGCTCGCGTCACGTCTCCGGGCCCGAACTTCACTCCGGGGGCGACCCTGCCGCCCGCGTCAGGATCATCTCCACCTGCGTCGTCGCGCAGGGGGCGCCCGCGCGAACGGTCGCCTTCTCGTCAGATCGCCCGGGGTCGCCACTGTCGACAACGAGCCTCGCGTTCGCCTCCAGTGGTATACTGTTCGTCTCCGTCCGAAGCGGGGCGCTCTTGTCCGTCAACGCCCGCCGGGTGCTCATGGCGCAGTAGCCCTTGCCCTCGCGCTTCGTCGACTCCTCGAGCTCGGCGGGCCCCTCCTCCAGCGGCGCCTCCGCGGACACGGCGTCGACCCACCTGGCCCGCTGCGACGCCGCTGCCTCCTCGCAGTACGCCTTGGTCGGCGGTCCCACGCGGCTCCAGACCTTATCCTTCTGGGCCTGCCCCTGCGCGAGCATCGCCTCGAACCTCGGGCCGGTCCGTTCCACCGTCTCCAGCTGCCTCATAAACCTTCTCCGGTCCACCTCGGGGGCCTCCTCCAGCCAGTTGGCGGCCCTCTTTGGCGCCTTCTTGACCCGCGGCGCCTCGTCGGGGCGCATGGGCTCCGGAGGTCCGCCACGTCCTCCACGAGATGGAGCTTCTGGTAGATCGGCTGTGCGCGCGTCACGCTTCTGTCCCTGCTGAGGCGGCTCGTCCTCCACTGGCTGAGCAGGGCCCTCCACCGGGCCCCGAGCTGCCTCGGCCTCCTGGGTGGGCTGCGTGCTCGGCGCGAGGTTGCAATGGGGCCCGAATAGACCCCCAGGGGTGATGTTCGCCGGCAGCGCCAGTCGAGCTGCCATCGGCCTCGGTCGCTCTCGCACTTCGCCCGCGCGCTGCTTGGCGGTCGCGGCCGCGCGCGGCAACCCTGACTTGTCCGGATCCTCGCCCTGGCCGCGCAGCCTCTGAGCCACTTCCCTCAGAACATCAGTCCTCCCGCTCTGCTGAGAGCTCGTCACCCTCGAGAACTTGGCGCTCGAGTCGCTCGAAATCGGGTCGGTCTCGCCTGCAGCCGCGGCGCCGTCCATCGCAGCAGCCGCGCTCGCCGCGGTGATCTCGCGCGGCGGGTCCTGCTGCTTCTCCGCGCCCGCGCGGCCCTCCGCTGCCTCCATTGCCTGAGAAGGCCGATCGTCCTCGCCCGGCGCCTCAGGTCCGTCGTCGTCGCCCAGGTCCGCCGCGACCTCCTTCTCGCTCGCCTTGGCCGCGCCCTCCGCGCAGATCTCCTCGTCGCGCTCCGCGTCGAGCAGCGCCTTCTCCGCGATGTCCAGCTGCTCTCTGGCGCCGATGCCCAGCGCCTCGACGGGCGACGCGCGGCAGGCCGCCGCTGGGTCGCGCATGGCCGACAGGCCCTCGCACGCGGCGTAGACGGCCGCCGGCTTTGCGCCCGCGACCGCGGCTGGCTCGCGCCAGAATTTGAAGATCAAGGCTGGGCCCTTCTCCTGCCGATCCCCGCGCTCGCCCTCGCGGCGGACGCAGGCCGCGTCGTCGAGGTCCACGTTCGCGCTGGGCGGCGTCCGGCGACTACGAGCAACCAAGGCTCGACGCAGCCGCTCGTTTGTGTCCAGCTTCTCCGGCGCCGCCTTCGCCGCGCTGTAGACATGCGGGCGCGTCGTCGCATAGGGGTCGTTATCTGGTCGCGTGCCGCGGTCTGCCAGCGCCCGCGCTCGCTGAGCACCCCCCGCGGCAGCTGCTGCGATCGCCCCGGCGCGAGCTGCGCCAGTGAGAAGCCGGACTCTTTGATTCGCTTGTTCTTGGTCCAGATGGCAAGGCGCGTACTCGCGGTCTCACGCGCCCTCTTCCTACAAAAC